GTGTGCTCTTCCGATCTTTTTCTTTTCTTCTTTCCATAGTTTTTGTCTTTTTTATTCTTTGAATACTAAACTTAATATTGAAGTGATATTTAATTCTATTCTGTAAATTTATATTTTATTCTATTTAATTAATATGTGTAAATTTTTCTAATTTTAATTAAAAATAATTTAAAAAATATATTGTATATTATAGCTAAATACACACACAGTTTTATTTTTCTCTCTTTCACAATTATGCTTTTATTTGTTTACAAATTTAACAATTTCGACGAAATCTGTAAAATTCAAGGCTTTTTCCAGTTGGGGTTGTTCACGCAGCGAATGCATGCCAAGGTCGAACAATGGTGCAAACGGCGAGGGCGTTGCCGATGTTCTTTTATCCCTGAAACATGCGGTGGTGCATCCTGGAAGTCCGACAACTGGCTATTATACCACTGGCGCCGGCTCCACTGCGGCTCATCATTATTCGCAGGACTATATGCAAAATCTGGGCCCGTCGGTCCCAGGTCCGGGTCACTACGGTTCTGCATCCGCCGCTATGTCCGTCAATGTGTCGATGAACATGACCATGAACATGAATATGCATTCTGGGTAAGGATTCTTCATTTTCTTTCTTTAATATTCAATATTTTTATATACAAAATTATATTGAATTATATGTTTAACATTTTTATATTATTATTTAATATTTTTTGTATCAAAAAATAGTCCAAAAAATTCGCACTTATGATTGTTATTCTAATTATTATTACTAATTTTATAATACAATTACATCAGATATTTTATTGTTAAAAGTATCTTTAAAAATAATTAGAAAAAATTACTCGTCTCAGAATTTTCATCCTTGCATTATAATATTATCTAAGAAACTACATCTCAATCATCATTTATAAGAGAGATTTATTACTTTTATAAGAGAGATAATTTATCTTCCAACAATAATCGCTATCTTGTTTTCTGCATCTTCTTTACAAAGTGCAGATATATTTGATTTTATCTCTACCTTTCTATTATATGTCTGTATGAACTTTATCTTTGTGTGTGTTTCTAGATACGAACAAAGTTATTCGTCAGCTTGGGGCGTGGAACCTCTCCTAAGTCCCGCCCCTCAGTATGGCAATCCGGTGGAGGTGGCAGCGCAAACGACCGCGAGGGTGAATCAAGGCACGCCATCCAATAGCGGTCTGATCGGTCATCCCCATTCCCACCCCCAATCACATCACAGTGGTGGCCGACTGCAGCTCGGGGATGAACACTCAATCTGTGTAAATACCACGAGTCCAGCCGTGGGTGGCATCACCCTCGAAGATAATGGCAGACCCAACTTGTGCAGAATATGTGGCAAATCATATGCTAGACCTAGTACTCTCAAAACTCACTTACGCACTCATTCCGGAGAGAAGCCGTTCAGGTTGGTACTTCCGTGTTGTTGATGAAAAAAATATAGAATTTGCTGGATTTGAAAGAAGGAAAAAAAAGAAGGAAAAAGAGAAATTTATATATTAATTTATTCTATTTTATTTTATCATTTTTTAAAACAAAATCATTTTAGTGATAATACAATTACATTAAAAATATTGTACATTTTCTTTTAATTTTAATATATTTAGATTAAGAGACAGAGTGCACTTAAAAATAGTAAAAATAAAAAAATTATTTTTATTTAAAAACGTAGATTGCTTTTTGGATTTTAAATTACATAAAACAATTTTTGGACATTTAAGGTGGTTCTTTAGTAAATCGAGTTA